CAAACATCTGAAAGAAGACAGAGAAATTTCTTGTAAATGTTCCTTTATATTTTGATCTCGGCTTTGGGTTCTGTATCTTCAGTTTGTTCACCCCTCCATTATTATAAATGAGAGAAAACAGAAACGTTTTTGTCAATCGATACAATTTCCCTCTTCTTTGTTTAACGCGATATTTTTTATTAACAAATAGTTAATCAATTGTTACTCTGCTTCAATCTATATTGTTCGCACTCTTTTGGTAGAGCTTATTGACATTATAATAAATCATAAATAATCCTTTGCAAGTTTTTTGATTTTCTACAAAAGAGACGCGCGCGCTATATAAATGTAATTACTGAGAATTGTTCCATTTCTTGCATCAGTTCTGTTGCTTTTGTCATTCAGTGGGGAATCCCAGTTTCCGTTAGGCATTCATATAACTATCGGGATAACCTTTAATGTTTGTATGTGCATCTTTTGAAACATAATCCATGGATGCCATACTGACCAGCCGCGCTCCAGATGGTTATTTTGGAGAACTCTACGGAAATCACGAGTATTGATTTTATGTTATATCAATCGTTGGTTTACTGTAGTTTTTTTTTTCTTTTTAGATTTATCATTTATTCCAATTCTCTTTTGTTTTATTCTATTTCCCTTCCATAACTTGCTCCAAAAATAGTTCAATTTTGTTCAATTCCGGTTTTTCTGATTGTTTTTTTACTTTTTTTTTTCTTTCTTCATTTTACCTGTCTGTAGAATTTACTATTCTTGAATATCCTATTTCATTTGTATTACTTAACTCTGTGATGGTAACGTTTTACTAAAGCTTCCTTGATTAAAATCCCTCTATTTACGTTTTATATTACAAAACCTATACTTTTTGTTGCCTTTTATATTTTTAAAGACGGCGTAAGGGTTATCAACGCTGAGGATGAATCGGCAGATCGAGGAGTTTAACGTTCACGTCTCACTAGTGCTTTCAATAATTCATCTTTTCTCTTCTTTTCATTCTATAAAGAAATAGTAAAGCAGACTGACTTCTCTAACATTGAAAGAGGTGTTAGCTAGTCTAAAAAGTTAACTTCAAAGCCCAACTGAAGCTTCTTTTATTAAAATACTTGTATTTACTTTTTATATTACAAAACCTATACCTTTTTTTGCTTTTTATATTTTTAAAGACGGTGTAAGGGTTATCAGCGCTGATGCTGAGTCGGCAGATTGAGGAATTTAACGTTCACGTCTCACTAGTGCTTTCAAAAATTCCATCTTTTCTCTTCTTTTCCAATGTATGGAGAAATAGTAAAGCAGACTGACTTCTCTAACATTGAAAGAGGTGTTAGCTAGTTGAAAAAGATAACTTTAGAGCCCTTGAAAACAGGTCAGTGTGATAGAACAGGACTTGTTACAAGTTCCGTGAACCGCGAGAAGCGTATTACTTGCATCAACTGACCATTCGCTGTAATTGATCTTCCACCAGCCGACCTGAGTCTTGCATTTACGATGGATCCTAAAAGAGATGTAATGTATGTTCCTGTGCAACCACTTATCTGAAAATTAGCCGCTTCCTACTTCAAATGATTCAGATGCGTTATTTTGTCAGTTTCTATGTAACAGGAATAGGCGACCTTTTTCGAGCAGTGGACCACATGATCTATGACAACACAAGGCGTTCCGCGCTTCTAAAAAGATTCACGGTAATTTTTCGTAGAAGTTACCTCAGCTACTTTTTCTACAAAAAACCATATGCGTAATCATATAGCTTAGTAATGGTTGGAAATTTTTATTTTTTAGAAAATATATACTTTTTTTTACTTAAACAATTGAAATTTTAGTATAATATTATCACTGAAAACAGTGTAATTAACACGTCGCTTCATGCATTATTTGAAAATGAAAACATTTCTTCTTTACAGAACAAATTCTTATGAAAGTTTCCTGTTTCAAAAGCAAAAGATGTTTACGCGTATGGTCTCCCTTGGTGAAAATATGCAATGGTTTTAAAACCTTACTTTCCCAAAAATCATACAAAATTTAAGAAACATTGTATTTAATCATTGTTTATGTTTGTGGTTACGTATGAGAGAGTGTGTGAGCGAACAAGTGAAAACGAACCGAAATCCCATTTTAAGACACCATATATTCCTTATGAAATTAAACGCGACGTTCAGAAAGACCAAACGGGCCGTATATGCTATATAATGCAACATTGTTTGAACATTTTTCTCTTTTAGTTCTGACTCTCCTGAAACAATATTTCTCTGAGATTACAATCATTGTCCAATCTCTTACCTTACTTTCGCATTATCATGTATGCGTCCTTTTAATTACTAAGACTAAAAGGTGTCTCTGTTATATTTTATTATGTCTTCTCTTGCACCAAAACAAAGTGGTCAGATAAAATGACAAGGTGTAACATGCTAACTTATTAAATTACAAACGAGAGGAGGAACAGGTTGAATTATATGATATTATTGAATGTACTTGAGATAAGTTCGATAAATAGGCTATAGTAATTCTTATATACCGTACATATGAACACTAATCGGTGTGTCTCAATCCTCATAAATGCGTTGGACAATATTGTAAGTGGGGGTAATATGCTGTCTAAGTAGTCCACCACTAGCAGTGGTTTATCTACTTCACGCCGCTGGCGAGTATTGTATTTTGTTGATGTTATAAATATTACCATTTCATTTTCAACCTCTGTTTATGTTATTCCTCGTTCAGTAACACTTTCTAGGTTACAACAGTAATAAAAAGGGATTAGACGAGTGAGGGCAACCAAAGCCAACCAAGGACACTGTCACTTGACTATATAAGCAGTTTCAAGAAAGCTAATTCTCTTAGGTGCTTGATTAAAAAATAACTAATAACCAAAATATTAGCAGTACTTAAGTCAACAACCAGAATCATGTCCATGTGTCCGTGACTACGGTGAGAACATTGGTTACGAACTGACCTGCAGGGGGAGGGGTCTCCGTCAGATCTACTTGCCCAGGACACTCAGCTGCGCAGCAACCATACGTGGTCATGAACCCGATGATAATAATGAATGATATTATATTGAAAGTATATTAAAAGAAGAACGGTTTATTGAAAACAATGACCATATACTAAATAAATATAGTTAACATATTGAAATCATTGATAGTATATTATTGAAAAATAACAGTATATAAAAACCTAAGTTTATGTTCTATCTAAAGATTTGTGCCGGACAGAAACTGAACCCGGATTGGCTGATTGGAACTCAACCATACTAACCGTTATACCAGAGATACTTTCCAACGTGGGAAGGTGGTCAAGATGGTGATGTGTACAACAACAAAGTGTTGTTATGGATCCCATGTTACATCTTTTTGGTAGAAGACTGTCATTTTCGATGGCAAGGAGATAACGTCTTTAAATTTGAGACACTGCACTCTCTTATAGAAGCTACAATCGCTAATTGTGGCAATCGTTGAAGCCAACTGAATAATTAAATGAACAAAAAAATAAGTTCTACTTGATACAGAAAATAATTCATGTCAACTAAACTCTGTTCTACACTGTTCTTTTTAACCTTACTGAATTGTTTCTTCTTCTTTTCTTTCTTCTTTGTTTTCTTCTTTTTGCCATGTCCCTTTATCCCACCTCCTTATCGTTCTGTCATTGATTCACATGAGTTTATTTGGTAAGTTACTCACTGTCCCTCTTGTCTAGTCACTGTTGTCCATTGTCCCTCTTGCTTACAATATATTTTATGAGTGTCAAATTCTCCATTCCTTGTTTTCTCACTCTGTGTCCTAAGAAATTTCAACTGCCACTTTCTAATTTTAGGTATTATCGTCCTTTTTATTTCTATTTTCCTTAAAACTTCGTCATGACTCCCATCTTCTTTTTATGGTATTCTCAGCATCCCTCTGAAGAATGACATCTCTGTTGCTTCAAGTTTCCTCTTCATCTGTCCAGCATTAACTGTCAATATAGGGGGACTGATATTACATAGCAGTTGTATCATCTTTTGTTGTTTCTAATGAAATTTTCCTGTTTCTTAATGCTTTGCTTAGCTTTTGGAAGATATTTTTTATCCTAATACGCCTTTGAATTTTGGAGTTTCATGTTCCATTCTCTGATGAAGCACATTTAAATCTTCATAAATGCTTGATTTTGACATCTACAATTCGTATTTCTTATCCTCAGCCTGTTCCTCTTGCTTACTATTTAGCAATCAAAATTATTGTTGCAATTGTTAAATCTACAGAGATTGAGGTTCATATTATTGTGATGCAATGCATTAGTGACCAAACTTTGAAAAAGATGACAGTTTCAAAATGGCTAGACAGAATTTTAGGAAAACATATAAAATTATTCCCATTAAAGTGCCAGTGAATTTCGACGGGAATTATGTTTGGATTTGCGGAGGTGAACGGTACAAATCGGGGTTGTTGGCTTCGGGGCAATTGATTAGATTTAAAAGTTTGAACAGGTGTCATAAATCAAGAGGCAGATAGGGCGAATGAAACGAACAGGAGGAGGACATGAGAGCAAACCAACGCCAGTCACGCGAATGTGACAAGATTAAGACACGCTCTATTGAATTAATCGCTCATATTTAATATAGATTAGATAATTAGCAAATATAAGAAAGTTTCTATGGGAATTTACGCAAAGAAAACTTTCAACGACATTTCTCAACATAAACTAAGAAATAAGCCGTGCATTTACATATATGGGCTTTTGTAAAATATTAGTCTTACATTAGATTGGAATTCGGTTTCTATTTGGTTGATTGTTTTTGTTTAGCGGCATGTCAACATATCTATGGGCTATTTAATGTCGAAATCTAAACATTTTGTACGCATTTTTTGGTGGAGAATAATAAAAGTTTTAGTGCTACAAGTCTTACTAATTAACCCGTAGCTGGGGGAGAGAGGTGGATTCATAGTGTATTTGCGTGTAAGCGAATATGGAGCACCCAACTGGAATTGGAAAAACAACTTTTCGATTCAAAATTATACATTACACCACACGCAAACTTACAGCACCTGGTGTTCCTAAGCGGTCACCCATCTATTTATTGAGCAGGCTCGACGTTGCTTAACTTCGCAGATCGTACGGAAACGGGTTTTTCAACGTAAGCCGTTTCTAGTTGTGTGATAGATAGATAGATAGATAGATAGATAGATAGATAGATAGATAGATAGATAGATAGATAGATTTTAGACATAGGAATTAACACCGCATTTTGATTGATTTGATCGTTTGATCGTTTGAGAGTTATTAAACAGCGTTGATTCCTCTGCCAGCACTTTCTATAACAACATACACTCCATTCCCAATATTGAGCGCTCTTCTTCAACAAATATTGCCCATTTTAAACATTGTATTTACATGTAACAGTTTGAGAGTGTTTGTGCATGTGTGTCTGTCTAGATGCGTGTGGACGGAAAAACAGAAATATTTATATGCGCATAAAATTATATACAGTTGTTTACGTTTCTGTGCGTACGCAAATAAAAAGTTATGAGATGGAAACAAGTAAATATAATGTAAATCTATCACACTCTCTCTTTCTCTCTCTTTCTCACTCTCTCTCTCTCTCTATCTGTCTTACTTGATATATATATATATATATATATATATATATATATATTAACAAGTATATATATATAATGTTCAAAAATACTTACATATCTATAAACCAGTTAGAATTTTTGCCACAATTATCAAATTATCGCTCGTTAGGGTCAGATATGAATATTCATATATATATATATATATATATATATATATATATATATATATATATATATATATATATATATATATATTATTATTTTGTCATTATTATTTTTATTATAAGAGATTATAATAAAATCATGTTGAAATCGCTACACAAATGATTTCATGTTTCAATACTGTGGTTGTACTTCTTCAGGCGATGGTAAGGAACTGGTGATTTCACCACGATTTTTAATATGATTTATAATTAAAATAAAAATAATACATTGCTCTACTTTGTTTTGAGCACTTTTTAAAAGTATATGCTACGAACAGTGTTATTGTACTCCATCTGTTCTTTCTCTCATTTGAGAGATATATATATATATATATATATATATATATATATATATATACATATATAGAAATGTTCTTATATTTGCTATCTAATCTATATTAAATATGAGCGATTAATTCAATAGAGCGTGTCTTAATCCTGTCATATTCGCTTACTGCTGTTGCTTTTCACTCGTATTCTCCTTGTTCGTTTCATGTGTGTGTGTGTGTGTGTGTGTGTGTGTGTGTGTGGAGAGAGAGAGAGAGAAAGAGAGGAAAAAAGCCTGTGTCGACATAGTGAGCGACGCTGTATGTTGACTGATAGATATACGCTCCGAATGTTTGAAGAGGTCTTGACAGTCACTATGTAGTGTAGATTCCTATGTCCACAATGTTTTACTCTCTCTTTCTGTATATACTAGGTATAGCAGTAAAATTGTCCGAATAGTATAACAGCATAATTGTCCATCCCACAAACTATCTAAAAAAAAAAACACTAAGCTGAGATTCTTTTTTCTAGGTTTTCCGGGAAGACGTTTAGCCATCTTGACACCATTTGACGTGAGAATCACTGACAAATCCTTTGAGCTATTCAGCGAGAAGGGGAACAGGTTAAAATCATAGCCCCATTATTTCGTTCTATCTAAGTATTGCTGGGAGGAAAAAGTTCATTCAAGCCTTCAGTAATGGTACCAACATGGTTTCCATCTTCAAATCTATTCAAGAGACGGGTGAATAAGTTTAAATAAGAGAGAACAGTAGAGACAGTACCTGGATCAGGAGGTCACAACAGGAAGAGGGATCATCATTTCAACTTAGAACTAAAGATATCAATTAGAAAAGACCCAACTGACTCCATAAGACGTTTGGAAACGTGAGAGAGGGGTTTCACCTATAACAGTTCAAAGAGCAGTGAAAAAAGACTTGAAAATGAAATCCTACAGAAAAACTAGAATAATATATATATATATATATATATATATATATATATATATATATATGAACTTTATTTCAATCCTGCAAGTTATTCCGAACCTTAGCTATGATGAACAAGGCATTTTCATTCATGATCGATTTCATCACGATTCTTCTGTTAAGCGTGGAAAGTAATTATGCATTCTTATTGCTCAAAGTAGAGTCCAATAATGTTATAAAAACTTCGAAGTGCGGTAAGATATCTTTAACCATTTTTAAGATACAATGTTTCAAATCTTAATATAACAAATGGACAATTTTGCTCTTACACCCGATATATATATATATATATATAGATAGATAGATAGATAGATAGATTACTTCTCACTGTCTAATTTAATAATGGCTCCAATTTGAACAAGCTTGAGAAAAAACAACCGATACTTGTTCTTACATGACACCCGAGAAGTTATAAATGTTTATATTAATTATTATATCAAATAAACCACGAAATGTTCAGGTGACTTATTTGATCGACCAACTTATATGGAACAGATAAGTCACCCGAAACTTTTTTGATTTATTAAGTTGTAATTCTAGTCATATATTGAGTGCTTTTGGCAGCTCTGCTCAACTGGAAAATACGTTAAATTCTCGTAACCTTCACATACTTTTAGTTGTAATATTCTTAATAATAATAATAATAATAATAATAGTGGTAGTAGTATTATTTTAGTAGTAGTTATTATTGTTTGAAGGAAGGCTAATTACAAAACACAAAATTTGTAAAATGATATTCCCATCATTATTGCTTAACACAAAACAAAGGTTGATTATGAAGATTGACATTGTTAATGTGATGACGTGAATATCCTTCGTCAATATAACAACGGATAACAAGTGTAATTCAGAGAAAATTACAAAGAAGAAAACAAAGTGGAAAAAAATATTAAAGGTGATTATTGATATTCGCTAAGCTTAGTTTGACAGATTATTAAATGGCAAATGGAGAATACAGATAGGAATATATATGTGCGCTGACCATAAAAGTGGAAGGGCCTCTTTGCTTTACAATGATAACTTTTTTCCTTGCCTCGAACATTGATCATTTTTATGAAATAAGCAAGCGGGTATTATTTTACAGAATGAACACCAAGAGGTGACTATTTTACAGAATGAACACCAAGAGGTGACTATTTTACAGAATGAACACCAAGAGGTGACTATTTTATAGAATGAACACCAAGAGGTGACTATTTTACAGAATGAACACCCAGAGCTGACTATTTTACAGAATGAACACCCAGAAGTGACTATTTTATAGAATGAACACCAAGAGGTGACTATTTTACAGAATGAACACCAAGAGGTGACTATTTTACAGAATGAACACCAAGAGGTGACTATTTTACAGAATGAACACCAAGAGGTGACTATTTTACAGAATGAACACCAAGAGGTGACTATTTTATAGAATGAACACCAAGAGGTGACTATTTTACAGAATGAACACCAAGAGGTGACTATTTTACAGAATGAACACCAAGAGGTGACTATTTTACAGAATGAACACCCAGAGGTGACTATTTTACAGAATGAACACCAAGAGGTGACTATTTTACAGAATGAACACCCAGAGCTGACTATTTTACAGAATGAACACCCAGAAGTGACTATTTTATAGAATGAACACCAAGAGGTGACTATTTTATAGAATGAACACCAAGAGGTGACTATTTTACAGAATGAACACCAAGAGGTGACTATTTTACAGAATGAACAATACCAAGAGCTGACTATTTTACAGAATGAACACCCAGAAGTGACTATTTTACAGAATGAACACCCAGAGCTGACTATTTTATAGAATGAACACCAGAGGTGACTATTTTACAGAATGAACACCCAGAGCTGACTATTTTTACAGAATGAACACCCAGAGGTGACTATTTTATGAATGAACAAGAGGTGACTATTTTACAGAATGAACACCCAGAAGTGACTATTTTACAGAATGAACACCAAGAGGTGACTATTTTACAGAATGAACACCCAAGAGGTGACTATTTTACAGAATGAACATTATTGACTATTTTACAGAAATGACCACCCAGAGCTGACTATTTTTAGAAGTGACTATTTTACCAGAAATGAATTAATTAAGGATGACTTTTTATAGAATGAACACCCAGAGACTAGAATGAACACCCAGTTTTTTTATAGAATGAATGAAGGTGACTATTTTACAGAGAACACCAGAAGTGACTATTTTTATAGAATGAACACCCAGAGAGGTGACTATTTTACAGAATGAACACCCAGTTTGACTATTTTTAGAATGAACACCAAGAGGTGACTATTTTACAGAATGAACACCAGAAGTGACTATTTTACAGTTTGGCTCTTTGAGCTTTTACAGAATGAACACCCAGAGGTGACTATTTTATAGAATGAACACCAAGAGAATGACTACACAGAAAGAGATGACTATTTTGGCTCAGAATGAACACAGAATGAAACTGAAGAACAATTTTACAGAATGAACACCAAGAGGTGACTGACTTTTTACAGAATGAACAGAATGAACATTATTTTACAGAATGAACACCTCGTTTGACTATTTTACAGAATGAACACCCAGAAGTGACTATTTTAAAGAATGTGATACAGAATGAACAATGAAAGAATGAACATTTTACAGAATGAACAAAACAGAAGAACTATTTTATAGAATGAACACCAAGAGGTGACTATTTTACAGAATTTACCCAGAATGACTATTTTACAGAATGAATGACAGAGGTGACTATTTTACAAAATGACTACAGAATGAACATTATTTTAAAGAATGACCAACTCAGGTTCTTTGATTTTATAGAATGAATTATTGTAAAGAGATGACCAACTCGTTTTACAGAATGAACTACAGAATGACTATTTTACAGAATGCCAACCAAGAGGTGACTATTTTACAGAATGAACACCCAGAGCTGACTATTTGACAGAATGAACACAGAATGAACATTATTCTAGAAAGATGACCAACTTTTGACTAGAATGACTACACCCAGAATGACATTATTTTAAAGAATGAACAACCAGAGGTGACTATTTTACTAGAATGAACATTTAAGATTGACTATTTTAAGAGATGACTATTTTA